AAAGGAGGAGTGACGACAGTGTTGGACGAGAGAGGACCAGGCCTGGATTTTATTTTGTGTTTTGTGTACGGCAGTCGTCCGGGAGGGGCTGCCGCTTTACTTTCGTTTTGTGTTTGTTTATTTGATTAAAGTTTTGTTTAAGTGTTCGCCGGTTCCCGCTTCTTCCCGATCTACAAACGTTGTTACACTTATACTGTCTTTTTACGCGTAGCGTTGCATCGCGCCACGTACACATAAAACCATGTTTTCATTTGTGATCGGAGAAATGACAAACAACAAGCCCTACTCTACACTGCCCAAAAAACTCGCTTTAAATATAAAAAACGTACTTACAGTCTTTGAGTCAGAACAGCCGGCATTGTAGTCTACTCTCCCAGGATCAAGAAACAGTCCTCCATAAAATGTGCTGCACACATCTGAATATTTGGGTTGAAGTGTTCTGGAACAGTGTTGTAAGTACAACTTAACCACTGATTTCTAGTCTAGTCCATTTTTGGAAGGCCAAACAAAGTAGTTTCCCTTTCACAATGAAACAGCGTCACACACGGCGGCCTACAGTGAGCAGAGGCCGGGGGATAAAGTAAGGAACGGCCGGCGGGCGCTGAGTGAGCAGAGGCGGCGGATTCGACAAAGGAGCGTCCGGCGGGCTTGCGGCAACCACTTGTAATGACCCCGGGCTGGACTCCGCTTCGTCCACAGTGAAAGCCGATCCGGAAAAATTTAAATCGCATCATATGACCCCTTTAAATATAAATGTAAATTAATTTCTAGTTTTTAATTAAAAAAAATCTAAATCAAAAATTCTAAATCAAATCAAATTTAATGTATTATATAAAATTAAAAATATGTTTTATCAGATTTTATCCCTGTGCAATTCTTAAAAGTTTGTGGGATTGTTCTGAAAAAGATAATAGGAAAGGCCCAATTCCCTGCCCTGGGCACTGTACATGCTACAGAACTAGGGAGCTGACTAAGACACACCTTCACACCATCATCTTTGAAGAAAAACATCACAAGTGCATGTGATCTATTGGAGAGAGAGAGGAGCCCTTCAGACAAACCTCTGCATCGATCTGTCACTCATACTGAGGTCTGCACAAGAAGCTTTAAAACCACCCGACTGAGGTACTGCACTCCTGCCTCAACACAGTATTGATCAGCTGATCTTTAGCCCTCGTCTACACACTCTCACAGACAACAACACCATCATGCTGCTGTTATATAACAGGTCAGTATGTCCTGTTCCCAGTCTCACGCCCCTGTGGGGCTCCTACCAAACCCCAACCCAAAGACCCACCACAGAGAAAAGTGCTGGCTATATCAATTTGAAATGAGCTGGAATGTGTAATTATTCATTCAGAGTAATGGAGGACTGGTCACTGGAGAGAGAACACTTAGCCAAAACTCAGGGGCAAAAAAAAACATGCAGTAATTATTATATTATTATACAATGCTCTTCAGCTAAAGTACAAAGTTATTTGAGGAATACCGTTATTAGAGGAATCTTATTCTAAAGAAGGACATGCGCTTATAAGATCATCTGAATGATGGAAGGAATCTTACCTGCATCTTTTCCAGCATGTCGAAGAACTCTGCCGACTAGAAAAGAAACATAAATTGAGATTTGTGGTTTTGTGGTGATATTTACATCAAACCACTTTTTTTAATCATTATCTGGAAATTTTAGAATCAATAAAGAAACAGAGGTTAATACATTTTGGCAACTTATTTTTACTTATTACTATTTTCTATATTGTAAAATAATAATAAAGGCATCAAAACTTGCACCGTTGTTAAAATTATGACCAATACTAAGAATTCAATAATTATTTTCATTTTATGGTTGATAACAGATAAATGGCAGATTAAAATTATATACATTTTTTCTACATAAATAATAAAAAAGCACAGCAAAAACCAAAATCATTAGATTGTTTTATGAAAATGTGGATATTTACTTTGAGATTTGGAATATTACATTTAACAGAGTTATTGAATGATTAGATTTAAAGATTAACATTAAGTGAACACTAACAAGATAATCTACAAGTAAAAATGGGTAAAATGAGCATGCTCAATTGCACGTAAGAAAAAATATATAAAAAATGTAAAATAAAATACACAATAAAATAACAATAAAATTAAATTAAATAAAAAAAATAAGATTTTTTTACAGCTATTAGACAAACGAAATAACTAAATTACTTTAAAAATACTAAAATATACTTTTAAAATGCTAAACTTTAAACTTTAAAAATACAAAAATATGCTAAATGACTTTAGTATTATTTTGAAAACAAAGCAAATCTTACATTTCAGTCTTATATTTCATTTAATTCCCCCCTTTGTCTAGATTCCAGCTCTCCTCACTCTAGACATTCCCTCAGTGAACATGAGGTGCATTCTGGGATGCATTTTAAAACATATTAAAGATGTGCCAATGTATATTGGACTCTCAAGCCTACACACCCAACTCCCACAGTCTGATCATATCTAAAACCAAGTCAACAACTACAGACTTCTCCGCAATCAACTGCACATTTGTAGCGCTATATCATAAATATGGAATGTGATATGGGTCAAGATATGCTCAATGAATTGTGAATGACATCAAATGACTCTTTCTCGATGCAGACTTAACAAACCATAATACTTCCTCACTCTAAATCAAACTTACTGAACCTTTACAGCTGCATTTAATTTATGGGCTGTGCAACCATTAGGGCTTAATTATTAGTTATTTAAGAAATGCAATAGAGGTTTAAAGCACAATTTGTAGTCTGGACCTGAAGGGCTTATAATAAAACAACTCTCAACTATTCTTGATAACTTTGCACAATATTTCTACTACACGCAGAGTCTCTTACCTTGACAAAGCACCCCTGCTATAGTTAAGAGGCAGTCGACCAGAAAAACATCTGATATTTGTTCAAAATAGATCCCCTGGGTTTAAGGATATTCCTATGATCGGACGGAGTGTAACAGATGCAAGTGCAAAACCAGATTGGTTAATGTTTAACCTGTCATGGATCCAAGGGCAACTCACTTCACAAAGTCAACAGAGTAAAGCCCAGCTAAGCCATATTTGCCCAAATAACCTCGAGGAACTGAGACCACAACATCAATAGGACACATGAGGGTAACTCCTTAAAGGGTAACTCCTTAAACTCCTACTAAAGAGGAACACATAGTAGAAGAAGGAACAAGGCGAATGGATGTGTATATTTTTGGAAAGGCTTTGAAAGTTTTGCAATGACCTTTGACCTTTTTTGATTATATATTGAATATTGACAAATCTCACATGAGTCAGCAGTCAAGTGCCTGAAGCTGTTTGCATGAGCACATCAAATCAAATATAAAAACATAAGAGCTACATGATAAAAAATTTACATAAGTCTTAAATTATGCCTGCAGTGTCATAGTAAGGTTATAAAGAGATGGAGCATATCTCCCACCACAACCTTTTAGTTCCATTATTGTCTCAGACAAGATTAGCATCCTATCCTGGATTTTTGCAGCTCCAACCAAATTACAATGAAGCACACAATACATCAAAATATTCTGCTGTAGACATAAAAAGTCCCTGATATTAGATAAAACACCATCACTGTAAAAAAAATAATAATAATAATAATAATTATCAAAGTTGTAAATAAAACAAATATTATTGGAGCATGTTTTACAAGAAAATACTATTTCAATCTTTCTACTTCAAATTTCACATTTAATTCAGTCTGTTAATTGCCGTTTCTTTGTAATTCTTTGTGAAATTTCTGAGTGAAAATATTAAGTATTACAGTAACTATCAAGTTAATTTCTACATATACTAATACATTTGAACATTTCTAGTTACACAAGTTAACATTACACCAGAAATGAACAATGAACAATAGTATATTTTAAAAAAAAGAAGAAAAAAAAGCCAAAAATCCTAAAATGGAAGTGAATGGGGCCAATCTGTAAACATTAAAATACTTTTTCAATAGTATAGCCACAAGGCAAGAAAAGCATGTGTATTAACACGATTTTAGTGTGGGGAAAAAAATCACTTTTCTGAGTAAAGTTATATTCAATTTTACAACTTTGATGACATGACAACACACTCTTAAAACACTAAAATGACAGCTGAAATGAGAAGAAAAACTTTACAGCTCAAATAATACACACGTTGGCAGAAGAATTCATGTAAGTGCTTTTATAAAATTATAAGCCTCATATTTCTGCTTTTAAATCATTCACATATTAGCCCATTTACTTTCATTGTAAATGACTCTGTAACATCTATTTTTGCTCTATCTTGAGGGACATGTTGAAATATTTTTTGTGGTAATCAACATTATGCACAAATGCTGACAATTAACTTGTATCCAAAATAGTCCTTTAACATAACTTGGATTAACAAATGCTGTAAAAAAATGCTGTTTATTGTTAGTTCATTATAATAAATAGCAAATGTTAACAAACTGAACCCTACTGTAAAATGCTGCCATTTCTTTAATATAAACACTTTAAACTATTACTATTTACTTGAATATGCAAGTAGTTATAGGTATAAAGAGACAGATATAGAGGCAGTGTGTAATAAAATGTGCATCTGGGACTCTGTCCAGGACTGATAAACTGATATAACATAAAAGACTCAGACGTACTAGAATGAATGAATGAACTGCAGTGGTGCAGGAGGTCTGTGCTGCGTCAAATACACACTAACAAGCCTCATCAATACCCCCATCCTGCAATAAACACAAAGCGAATCTAATTCCTCTCACATTCTGTTTCCCCCCGTCACACGGGCGATCATACCTCTCTCCTCTGATCAGCTGTGCTCCTCTATGCAAACACTTTCAGCAGCACAAAACAGGAAGAGGATGACCAAGTCCGCTTGGCACTGTTTTCTAGCTCTACACCCTAAAACTGGTCTTACCAGTATGTCTGTACTTATGAGTGTTTTGTAGTTCTGCTTTGTATTTGACCTACGGCTGTTCGAACCACAGTTCACAAGAGCTTATCAAGTCTGCACACTTGCTTTCCTCCCTTTCCTCTTTTCTTCTTTAGACACTGGGTTTACATTGGGAGTGGCCACCAACTGTTTGAACAACACATAATTATATATCTTAAAGGACAAGTACACATACCGATTAATATGTCCTTACTAAATGTATTGTGTTTACTCTCAAACACAGTTGTTAATGAAGTATTTGCACATTGTGGGAGTGTTTTGAGTGGGTGAGTGTGTGTTTGTGTGCCAGGTTTTGGCTGCAATGTTTGGACCAAATGTCCCCACAAGAATAGTTAAACCTGAAGTGAGGTACAGTACATTGTGATGTGTTAACGAGTGTTCTGCAGACATTTCTTTGCTATGTTTAAAGTGATTCGGTGTAGTCTAAGGACAAAGTTGGAACTGAAAACTTGTTATGTGAGTTTTTCAATAACAAATTTATTTGTACAATACAAAACTAATATTAGATATACAAATTTTTTGTAAGTTTATGTGGTGCTAACTGTCTATTTTTATTTATATATATATACTACTGTTCAAAAATTTGGGGTCGGTAAATGTTTTTAAAAATGTTTTTTTAATAGAAGCATCTTACGCTCACCAAAAGTTCATTTATTTGATCAAAAATGCACAGTAAAAACAACAATATTGTGAAATATTATTTCAATTTAAAATAACTGTTTTACATTATAATATATTTTAAAATGTTATTTATTTCTGTGATGGCAAAGCTGAATTTTCTGCAGCATTATTCCAGTCTTCAGTGTCACATGATCCTTCAGAAATCATTCTAATATGCTGATTTGGAATAAAAATATTTAGAATTATTTTCAATGTTGAAAACAGTTGTGCTGCTTACAATATTTGTGGAAATGGTGATACAGAAAGTTGAAAGAACAGCATTTATTTGTAATAATTTTTGTAACATTATAAATGTCTTTACTGTTGATTTTGATCATTGTTATGTTTCATTGTGAAATAAGTTCTTAAAAAAATACTTTACTGAATTTACAACAGCTGCTCACAAGAAAGGCACATCCTATTTAAGCTATTTATAAATCCTCAAATCCTCCAACAACAGGTAATAACTATGCAAAAGCCTGGAGACCTTACTAAATTTCAAGTATGATTTTTCAACAAGTGCTCTGTGCCTCAGACATTTAATCAGTCCTTATGAAAAACAATTTTTATAATTAAAGCACTGGCTAACAGGATCATGACCTCTGGGTTCGACTTCATGTCTTCTCATCTTAATATCACACCTGATGCCTCGGCCTCACATCCTCCCTCCCTGCATAAACACTAATCTCTCCCTCCTCTGATTTTTCGGCAAGTGGGTCTCTTTTCAAGGTGACACCGACTGCTCACGCCACACAATCCATCTCTGAACTCAGTGTACCACTTTTAAACAAGACAGAAAATCTTTCCAGTCCCTCTCGAGGCTGTTTCAAATATAAAGAGATAGCGATACCATGTGAACTCAGTGGGACCTTAATGCTCTGAAGAAAATGGATTTCTCAGTCCAAATGAATTACCATTACATTTAGAGGTAACCTTGAATGAAGAGCTTTACCTCAAACACACCGCATGAACCTT